GCAAGTGTGACCATTACCTTGAGTAGTTGTCCTTTCTAAGCTCAGACTGTGATGGGCAGCGAACCCACGACCTGATGAATCAAAGTCGCGAATGTTACCACTAAAGTAATAATATATATATACACTAATAACTTGGTTATAATATTGCGGAAAGGGCAGTACTTGCAACCTTGTTCCATCTGTACCAACTCATGTTTAAACTTTATTTACCTATACAGTAATAATAACTTCGGTAAAATCATCAACTCACATCAATCTCGTTTTACGGCATTTTTTTTTTAATAACAAAATAAAGAATATTATTCAACTTGCATTTGTTATAAAGTCTGCAACAAAGTATTACAATTTCATGAACATAAAAAATGACCCCTAAACAATATAACACAAAAAAATAAGCGTAAAAATATAGAAAATTAATCAAATAATTTTAATGCTTACTAATTATGCAGATATTCTGTATAGAATGTGGCAAAAACAACATTATATAACAGTTAGAAGCTTTGGTCATTCGCTCGTTTCTAATAGTTCTGATGTCGATGGACAGGTCAAGAAGGATGCGTTTTCAGTCCTTAGATCGGTGTGTAAGATTTGTGGTTTGTCATCCCATGTCAAAAGGTTGTGCCCCCCAAACCTTCCCCTACGTATGGTAATTCTGAAAGAAGTAAAGCTCAGAACGAACTGAATTATGCCCAAAATCTTATGAAGATATGATTTTGTACTCGGAATGTAAATGGTGTATCTCAGATAAGCCATAAACTTTACCAACACATTTTTTCCGTTTTATGTATCATTATTAGTTTCCATTTGGGGATGGACAAAGTTAGCTTGAAGCTGGGGAATTAAGGTTGGATGTCCTTCCTATTACCCCCAATGTGGGATGAAATGGGGGTCATCACCTCCCTAGTCTACCATAACATTTGACTGCTGTGCAGTGGTGTCCCTAATACTTTACCAAGATACTATTTTGAAAAATTTATTATAATATCTTTTGGGTTAGGATTCGTTTTATGCGCCCCTTCAATTTTTGAACTAAAATATATTTTTTTTCTATTTGGTTTCGATGTATTTTATTCTGATACCGTATTTGTGTTCCTCAGAAATCACAATTTCTTTTTGTGTTAGGGTCGATATTGGTGGGTACTTAACTAACATAACCTGTAGTCTGGCAAAATGGTAGCGTCCGCGACTCTGAGAGGGCAGGTCGAGGGTTCGCGCCCCGTCACGGACTGAGGTTAGTTAAGGCATACACTCAGGGTAACAATTACATCTGCCAATACAAGTCCTTCGAAAGAAGGCAACCGTCCCAGCCCTTAGTAGAAAAGGGAGTTCGTGACGTAAAACCGAACCCAAACTTAACTAACCTAAGTCAAATATGAAGCTTTACATGCCTTAATAGGGTGAATGTGGGTGTTTATACAGCATATAGGCACATTTCAGGAAGTTGAGGTAATTTATAGTCACATTTCAGGAAGTGGAGGTAACTTATAAGCACATTTCAGGAAGTGGAGGTAATTTATAGGCACATTTCAGGAAGTGGAGGTAACTTATAAGCACATTTCTGGATGTGGAGGTAATTTATAGGCACATTTCTGGATGTGGAGGTAATTTATAGGGACATTTCAAGAAGTGGAGGTAACTTATACGCACATTTCAGGATGTGGAGGTAATTATAGGCATATTTCAGGAAGTGGAGGTAACTTATAGGAATATTTCAGGAAGTGAAGGTAGCATTAAGGTACATTTCAGGAAGTGGAGGGAACTTAACTCTCGTATAGAATATGGAAGGGGTGTATGCAACAAATTTTAGCCAAGTCTTGTTTTTTGGTATGTTTTCTAAAGAAATGCTATGATTATACATGTTCAGGACTTGTCGTATATGGTGTGGGGGATATACCAGTAGTTATTTGTATGGGCATACCAGTCACTTCACTTGCATATTTTTTGTACCGAAAATCGGTATATACTTAAAAAAATATAACGATAGAAGCAATAACGTCCGTAAAGTTCATGTTATTGAAACCTTAAAGAACATCATTAACTGCTAATATAATAATGTAGTAATTGTAAAAACTTTTAAGATAACCTTATCCAATGTTGACACTAGCGAGTCACTTGTCTGTTCTTCTTTCTTTTGACGTTCATGAAACTTGGTGAGAGCTCTCGTTTCTGAGCTAGTAAAACTAAACTCATAATTTTTTTTAATATTTCGGAAAGTCACTGTTAAATAGGTTCGTATGTACGGTTAATGTTTATTTTCACACACACCCATTAGGAAAAATATAACTATTTTTATTTTTATAACATTAGCATGGTTAGGTGGCTATGTTAGTTATTCCCAAAGTTCAGAAAGGAGTTGACAAATGAATTTGTTGCATTTTAGTTAAATTAATCAGTTTTTCAGTTATTTTGTATTTTCACTCGGGAATGTGAAACAAAATTGTTTTCATTCACTTTTTGTTTTAATAACTAACCAAACAGAATTATACATACATTACTACAATAAGTGTCACAAACTTCACCGTCATCAAAACATTGTAACATCAGAAACTCTACATAAGAGATCTCGCATTCGCGAGGTCGAGGGATCGCGCCTCGTCCAGGTAAGAGAATTTCAGCTGTTTACTGGGGAGGTTACTGCTGTGGCTGGTCGCCACAGTGGGGGGTTAGGGCCTGTGCCGGCTGGCGACCACCCTATGGGTCCTCCATGACCCGTTCCATCCATCCTTGGGTGGAGAATCTTAAAAAATGTCACTCACACTCTTTAACCTACGCATACATGATTTACCCCCCACTCCTCTCTCGCTCTATGTACAGTTTTTTATTTATTTATTTATTTTTAAGCTACGTTTTATCCTTCATTTATTGCTTTTCATAAAATTACCATACAAACTGGGGCCAGTGTTGTCCAGTTTTGTAAGTTTTCTTGTCAGTCGATAATTCCCATCTTAGAGCATTTTCTTATTCTCTACTTCATAAACCCTGTCGTGATCGCTATGTTAGGTGTATGGATTTTGGTTATATATATATATATATATATATATATATATATATATATATATATATATATATATATATATATATATATATATATATATATATATATATATTCAGGCTTCAAACTGATTTATTTAACTAAGAGTTATGCAAAACTGCCCGTGTTAAATGGATACAAATAGCTGACCCAGGCACTATGATCGCTGCTAGATTCATGAGAAAGTTATCTGAAATTAGTGTGTTAAGATGTGATCAGTAATATACCCTCTGAAAATGGGCATAGATACCTCAACTTTGCTGCTGTCGTTGTTTTAGATTCTCCACCCACGGATGGGTGGGACGGGTCATGGAGGACCCATAGGGCGGTCGCCAGACGCCAAATGTTATGTGCTTAATCTGGGACTGCGGAAAAGGCAGGTTATCCAAACCTAACTTAAATATGATACTAGATTTCTTTCATGGAATTATCCGATGATACATTGTTTGATAAGTAGTACACTAGACCTTACGATTTTTTTTAATCCAAGCTGTTCACTCGCGTATTTTGAGAACATTTCTCTTTCATCTGCAGTTCAAAGTCCATTAGATTATTAGAAGTGTGTGAAGGCTTTCCTTACACGATGTCCTAAGGCATCGTGACGGCCAGGAATAATGGGAATGGAGTGATTCCGGTAAGGACAGTTCAAAGTTGTTATTCTTGTTAATTCTCTAATAGAACCCAAAATCGAATCAAATCAAATCAAAACATTTATTTCCATTTTGTACAATGGTTATTCAACATTAATAGTAACTTATAAGTAGACATGTAATTAAACTAATAAATAGGAGGGTTAGACATATAGTTAAATTAAATGTAGCTTTCATAGAAAATAATAATGCTGTAATAAAAATGTTAACAATAAACCCGTCGTCATATACCCGTAGAAGGCTGTGTGAGGTTTGTTGAAGACTCTTCCCACCCACCCACCCAGCTTCTTAAACAGATCATTATTAGGAAATAGCGTTTTTCCCATTAATTGCAAGTGGCCAGTTATGTAATGGCAAATCATAATGTTTAGGAATTAGACGTCAGTACTGCTCAAGGAGCTTGCAATATCGAAAAGCAACGATTTCTCTCACAGTTTGACCGTGGGAAATAAGGCCATTGCTTGCTTAGTAAGTGTCGCTATTTTTTATAAATGTACATAAGTTTATTGATTTTTCTTGTGTTAATTTGTGTATTGGTATTAATTTGTTTATGTTGTGCCTCACCAGTTCAGTCAAGACCTACCAGGAGGCGCTAGTTTGAATTCCAGCCAGAACACTAGTGATTGGGTCTGGCCAATGTGCGTGGTTGTGGAACGAAAGAGATTAGTAGTATGTGTTAGGGAAGAAAAATAAGATTTTGTAAATAAGAGTAACCCCAGGGTGCTCTAGTGTTATGCATACTTACAAAGCAAGTCACCTAGCCTAACCTGATAATGTACGAAGTTATTTAACTTTACATGGTGTTCTGGGGTCACTCAATTTTACAAGATCAAAAAGATCGATATATTAATACCAAGCAGATATTATGCGTGGTCAGACATATAGTTCCTATTCTATCGTCAGAGTCGCTCTGGATAAAAGTTTTCAATTATAGAATGCAACAATTCATCTGATGAGCTATTTGTGACTAGGGAACAAAAAGTGGTTAATGTCTGCATTACGTATATATATATATATATATATATATATATATATATATATATATATATATATATATATATATATATATATATATATATATATATATATATATATATATATGTGTGTGTGTGTGTGTGTGTGTCTGTCTGTGTGTTTTCACATATGATATGTTTATTTGATCATTGTTGGTGTCAATATATTATGGGATGTGACTTTAGGCGAAATCGAAGCCATGAGATAGGTTGGGAAGAAGCTGCAAAGTTTACAAAAAGTATTGAGAAGAATGCGTTCATTCCCTAACTAAACAGTCAGTAGAGAGGTTAGCTTCTAATTTTAAACCTTTAGTGGTGTAGTTGGTAGCGCCTTGAAACTGTAATTATGTCTTGGGTTCGAATCCCAGTCAGGGGCAATATATATATATATATATTATTATATATATATATATATATATATATATATATATATATATATATATATATATATATATATATATATATATATAAGCAGAGTCATTTACATGTGTCTCTGAATTATCATACTTGTACTCCTGAAGTTCATGAGTTTGCAGTAGCTAAACAAACAAACAAACATTTATTTCCATTTTTGTACAATGGTTATTACTCTAAAAATAAAAGTAACTTCTAAGTAGATATGTACTTGAACTAATAAGTAAGAGGGTAATACATACAGTTAAATTAAATGTATCTTTCATAGCAAATAAAAATTTTAACAATAATGTTAATAATATAGTAATAATAACACTAGATACAGTATCGTTATTATCGGCATAATTACCATATTTGTTTTCCTTTCAATGAGAATAATTAGTTCTTAACTTAGAGAACAGAGAAGTCGATATCAATTTACATATAGAGAGGTTAGTGTTAAGGGAAATTGCATTAAATCATTAAGTTTAGTTTATGTGTGAGCAGCAACTATTTTTCCAAAAGAAAACTATATAGTTTACCTTTGAAAGCTGTGAAGGAGGATGCATTTTTAAGATGCTCTGGAATATTGTTCCAGAGTGTTGGCCCTTTAATAGTGATCATCTTTGAACCTGCTTCCGTGTTTGTTCTCTGAATAAAGAGCTCACTGCTCTGTCTTGTGTTGGTTTCCCTTATATCCCTGACTGTTTTTAAATCTAATAGCCAGCTAGGATAATGATTGTCCAAAATTTTGTATACAAAAACATAAATAGCATAAGCGACCTTGTTTTCTGCCCGCAGTCACCCAAGTTTATTGAGAGCTGGTGCGATGTGGTCATATTTTCTTATTCCTCCCAGGGCAACTCGAGCTGCAAAATTAATAAGCTTCTCTATTCTGTTTATCTGAGTTTTAGTGGTAGCTCCCCAAACAGTTGTGCAGTAATCAATGTGACTTAGGGCTAGAGATTCAACAACAGTTATTCGAGTGGTAGTAGCTATCTGAGAACAAATCCTACCCCTACCGTTCCTTCACTTTTTACTAACTAGTCGCTGATAAAAGTTTCTATTTTCCATCATTAAGTGGCAGGGGTTAGTAAATAACAGAGACCGCTATTGTTTCTTCTAGATTATTATTATTATTATTATTATTATTATTTCTTGCGAATTCAAGAGTTGATTTTATATTAATTATTAATTCCATTATTATTTTTTTAATAAATGTTCATACTAATTATTCGTTCGTTTATGCAAGTATCTGCAATTAACGTAGCAGTATGAAAATAAAATCGATAATTTCATGTTTATTTTAAAGATAGAAATAAATGTAACAGAGAGAGAGAGACTGATAAGCCTAAACGTAAAGTAATTTGAATGAAATTTTTTCAAATTAGTTTTTTTATTTTGGAAACTAAAGGGCCTAATCATAGGCCAGGCTAAAGATCATATAACATTATGAAACGAGAACATTTAGGATCTTTATGTAAATATATAACAATTTATCCATAAATTCCCATTAATATAATAGGCCTAAGTACGGGGTAAGTGTCCATAGTCCCTTCGACACTCCTGATTTTCCTCCCAGGTGACTGCTGGCAACTTTCTAGAGTTGGCCGAAACAACACGCGGGTTCTAGGGTGCGTTGACCCCGAGGAAAATGATGGCTCAACCTTACATTTTTTAAGATAATATATCCTAACATCTCTTGGAATACCCCTTCCATGACTGAAAAAATGCTTTGGAAGCATTATTGCTTTGTCTGTTAATGGATGTTTTAATCCATGCTGGATCGTATCCTAATAGAGAGGGAAATGAACTCTAGGGGCCAGTTTTCGGCTTTGTTTACAAATGCGATAATTATAGATGCATTCCGACTTCAATTCGTGTAGTTTTTCACGTGGTTGTGCATATTTGCGTCTATTTGTGAGACGTTTTATGGCATTTTATCTTTTATTTAAGAATAATATGGATTCCAATTGTATTGACCAAATGCATTCCGATTTTAATGCCAGTGACCCCGAGTCGACGTCGTCTGCTCTCTCCGAATCAATTTTGGCGCCATATTTCTGCGGATGAATACAAGCATATTTAAAGCTAAATATCAGACAAAATTAATATATGATTTGTGTATTTTACTTTTATATAAGGTTAACAGATGGATATTTATGAAATATGTGTCTGAGAAGGTGTATCATTCTAGAATAGAGCCGTGTACTGAAGTGAGTTTGGGGGATGGTTGGGGGCTAGGAACATGGTGTTAAATGGGAGTCATACCTCACATTGGTACCTTTTGCTTCAGCGATTATCGTCATGATGACTCAATATCAATATTCAGAACAGGGATAATTTTCTGATACAGTCCCTCAAATTTTCGTAACTGACAACCGGTCATATCTATTCCTTTATTTCGTTGGTGATCATTGAATGTTAAAAGTAGCGCCCGGCTGTCCTGAGCACTTGGCTGAAATTGAGCTGAAATTTCTCATTTTCCATCATATATTAACTAAGTATAGTAACCAGTCGACTGCGAGGGTATGGAAAAATAATCGACACCTCGTATTAAAGAGAGCGGAGTGTGACCGCGGCGTGAGGGTCATTGACATTCTGGTATACCGAGCCAGCAGCAGCAGCAGCCTTCCCCAGGCTTGTTGTGTGAGTCTTGCATTTATTCCATCTCACACCTCTTCACTACTCGCACCTCCTGCATGCCTACACCCAAGTTTGTGAAGGCTCAAATCCATGCGTCTTTCCATAGTGACATTGCCAATGTTTGTGGCGGAAATCCAAGTTCATCAAAACCCGACTTAAAATGGACCCGAATTAAAGGTTTAAGAGTTCAGAGATATTAACTCGCGTGAAAACATCCAACATTAGAATCAGCGAAGATTGAGTCTTGGTGAAAATATAAAAGAGATTAGGAATAATTGACACTTACGTTACAAATGTCAGCATTAGTGTAACACGAAGGTTTAAGTTACGGGAGTGGGAGAAGTCCCTAACTTAGTGAAAACTTGGATGAGTGACCGGTGTTGGTGGGGCCCCCCCGCTATAAGTCCCGTTGCCAACGGGACTTTGAAACTACTTCATTTGAAGGGATAAAGTCTAGCAGAAGGACTCCGGAGAGGAGACGCATCTTCTCTGTCGTCGGCGACACTTCCACCTTTGGCGATTGGGATTTTTATGTTTATTCTTAATAACTAGTGCAGTTGAAGAGTGTAGTGATTCTTCCAAAATATTTATTAATAATTTAAGTGATACTTCAAAATGTTATACATTAATGAATAGTGCATAACTAGGAAAAAAAATATTTAGAAACCTTATGAATTTATTGATAAATTCGTGAGGCATTTTAACCATTTAAAAGTGTCAATTTTATATATAAAGGATTTTTGTATGTAGATAATTTGTGTCAGTGATAATTGAATGTGACCTGTACCTGATACATTTTGAGATGAGGTCAATTTATTGAATATATTTCTGCTATTCAAAACGCTTAGTCAGTACCTCTACCCGTTCTATACCAGTGAAAAATGAATAATAAAAGGCGTGGAAGAATTAATTGCAGTGAATTAGATCTCTTTGTTCTACTTTGTGAGACTCAAAGTGAATTAGTGTACAAGTAAAAATTAAGTTCAGCCTATTCTTGTGATAAGCCACAGAGAGGTCAATGCTCTGTATGTATTAAATTCTTATCACAAGCCCTATCTGTACTTATCAGTACCCCCCCCCCTCTCTGAAGATAAGGAAAAGGAGGGTGGAATAAAAAAAAATATTATCTGTGGTGTTCCCTTTGGTTTATTCAGGCGCCCCTTCATTTATTGTATTTCTGGGATATATTAAATACATATTCTTCGAAAACTCTTATACACTATCATCATGCAGTTAAGGTCAGTGTATGATTTTTTTTTTATTTACTGTCTCTTATTTGTCTGATTTCCCTGTATAGGGGCTATTCAGGTACCCCCTAAACAAAAATTATGGGAATATTATGGTGGGAGGAAGACGGGAGAGAGAGGGGTGATTGACCTCAGCGCATTCGTAACACCCATTGTTTTCGCTTTAATTCTAGAATAATCTTGGTATGCACTTTTGATTTTGTGGTTGGGTTATTAAAGAATAGCTGACCTCGTGTCATTTTAGAGGAAAATTGGCCTTTATTAAGGCCACGTGAAGCTAAAACTGGGTAAATACTTGGTCGAAGTTTGAATATGGCGGGCTCGAGGTGAACACCCTCTGAGAGAGTAGTACGCATGTTTAAGAACAGGTCTTTGGGATACGCCGGTAATCCATAAATTATATTGAATTTAACTTACCTTTTAACATATCTGATGATTCTTATTTGATGTTTCTGTGACCTAATCCTCTCTTGTATTCTGTATATATTCAGCAGTGCCGAGTTACTGCTACTAATATTTATTTTGTTTATGTAACGGTAGAAAGTTGGTTTTTACCTGTGAATACTAGTTCTCCCCACTCTAGATTCCTTGATTCACTTTGGCACATTTTAATTCATATTTTGACACTCTGATTGTCCATTGGTAGTTAGTAACAGTATTTGGCATACCTAGTTGCTAGTTTACCTTTGTAACTGCTATTTATGGCATTAACAGTGCTCATAATGGACTAATGTAAATATGACACATTTGAAATTCCTCCCTCTGTCAAATAGCCTCAAGTCTTGTCAAAACTATTTTATGTATTTTTGTGCCCTTGCAAGCAGGCTAGTTACTTGTTTATTTGTTTGTTTTATTGCTTTGTTTATATGTTTTTCATTGCGTTGTTTATTTAAATTTTAATGAATATAATTTTCTCCATTTTATTTGTTGATATTATTATTTATTATTATTATTATAATTATTATTGTTATTATTATCATTATTATTATTATTATTATTATTATTCATATGTGTCATTATTGTGGCTTTGTGTACATAGTATTGATTAATTATTAATTTTAGAATAGTGATGATTCAGCACAACACTGAA